CTGCTTCAATGTTTGGGGGGTTGACGCCCTGGTAAGAAGGTGGTTCATCCATGGGTTGTGATGAGGACTCTGGGACTGAAGATGTCTCTTTAAGCGTAACCCCCTCATCAACCGGTTTGGATGAAGTAGCCTCAGCAGAGGATGATGGAGCAGGAGCTGTCGATGCTAAAGCCTTTGAAGGAGAGGCTGAACTTTTCTGAGAAGTCCAAAAGATCATCAGCACACAGAAAAGTTTCAAGTATCGAAAAGTATACTTGTGAGTAAACCAATTTAATTACCTTCCTCCTGACGATAAGAGGGGCATCATCATCATCATCATCATCAACATCATCCTCCAGAATGGGAGATGCTGAGGCTGGTCGTTTGTGGCTTGGGGCACTCTTGGCCGTAGTAGGCTTAGCAGGGAGAGAAGAAGATGGACGAGCAGACTGTTTAGTGCGACGAGAAGGAGAAGGACTCCGAATGGACAAGGGAGTGACTAAAACAGGAGGAGGGGAAGAAATGCTCGGTTGGTCTAATGAATGAAAGGCACGATTGGCGTCAGTCGCAAATAATCTGCGCTTCACTGACGGCCAGAGCTGTTCAAAAAGAGAGTGAATGGCGTGGCTAGAATTGAAAGGGGCTAATGAAAAATGGCTGGTTAAAAGAAGATTATGAGCATCTATAGCCTCTGCCTCCGCCTTATTAATGGTATAAAAATGGTCAACTAAGTTCCTTGAATAGCAAGGAGGAACAGGCCAAGTTTGGCCGAAACCAAACTGACGAGCAAAAAATTGGGGAGCATAAATCTCTACCCCTGCCTTGGCATTGGTCCCAGTTAGAATATCATGAAATGTTCCCTCCCGGTTAAAAATTGGATCCAAATGAGTAGGGAAGTGCTCGCGCTATCTATAGTGGAAGGGGGATGTACATAGTTTGGAGTCAAAAAAGGAGGAAAAAGAAAAAAGGAAGGGATTGAATCCAAGGAATAAAAGAATGAAAAAATGTCCCTTCTGGACATATTTACAGGAGCTAAGGGATCCATGGCTAGCCCATAACAGCTAGCAGAGGAGCGAGAGATGGATGGAGCACCAAGCAATGAAAAATAGGATTTCAACCACAGTTGAGTGAACCAAAGAGGTCCACTGCCAGTGGGAGATGCATCATTCTTCAATTGAGCTTGAAGAGAGGCCATGCCTCTATAAAGGGCAATCAAAAACAAAGAACATAAATTCAAAGGCCTGCCACGTGCCAATTCGTGCGCTATAGGTAAATAACTCAGGGAGGGCTTTATGCTTGGCACGCACAAAACATATTTACAAAGACAAACTAAAAGGAAGGCCACTCGCTCAGTATGGGAAGGCTCAGCGCTCGAATGATTGTGAAGGGTCTGCAGGCTTGAATAAGAATCGGTGTAGTTTTTACCAAATTTTAGGGCGCCATCAGAAACCAAGATACCGGGAAAAATGGTATCGCCCAAAGGTGGTAGATTCACCAGGGCCCCAACATCCCTTAAGGTAATAGACATGGGGCCAAGAGGGAAAATAAAGGTGTTATACTCAGGAGACCAAAAACTCAAAGCAATCGAAAAGAGTGCTGAATCAAAAGTAGGGGGGCGAATACAGATTTCTAACAAATCAGAAATCCTAGCGCTATCAAAAAGTGCCTTAGTGGGACCATGACCCACAAGGCGAGCATGCCACCTACGAAAAGCTACATCAGATTTAGGCCAAGTACGAATACCTCTTTCGTGAATTGGCCCCAGCGGCAGAGAGTTTAGAAAAGGAGGGCCGTGAGTGCAAGGAAACAGCTGACCCACCGCCGCCTGTTCAACTGCCTCTGCATTGTTGAAGAAAGGACCCAAGTAGAACTCATTACGTTCGACATCGGCGGGCGCGAGAGCGCGAGAAAACTTGGAGTTATGTATGGGCGATTCAGAAGTTTCTGAAAGTCATCAAAACTAAAGGAGTCGCCAACTTGAGATTGTGAAGCAGCCATTTGAGAAGGAACGAAGTTTTTCAGGGTTACGTAGCAGGGAAGCAAGAGATGAACAGTAAATCGTGAGAGAGACGCAAAAAATTTAAGGCGTGGTTTAATTGTGCAGTGAAATGACATGTTTGGGGTTTATAAGGGTTTGCAAAACGACGCACCTTTTCAAGTTATAGAAGAAAACAATGATTGAAATTCTTGAGAATTTCGAATGTTGCTGGAAACACAAAGTGAATATGGCAAAATTTAATAATTATTATTAATTCTGTCATATTTGGGGTAATTGTTGACACATAAAAATTCAGCCCAAATCGAACAGCCCAAGGAGTGAAGCCCAATTGGAGGATCCCCAAATCAGATAGCCCAAAGAACGAAGCCCAATCGAACAAATCAAGATGAAGGCCCAAATAAGGAGGCCCAAGAACGCGGTAACGCCATCGCCCAAGTTTGCAAGTCGCCCAGAATCTGAGCGAATGGAGTGTCATACAGTCGCCCAGAGCTGTTACTCTATTCTCGCCCAAACCTTCAAGTCGCCCAAGGTCTTAACAAACATAAAGCGTCGTGGTTATCAAGAAGTGCAGTTATCAAAGCAGTTATTAAAGCAGCCCTATCACGTTCCACGATTCAAGGAATTCAATCGAAAGTGGTTGAACGATGAAGAGTAATGGCAGCAGTTAAAAAAGGTAGTTTTCATGACAAGTTGGCCATTACGAAGAAGGTGGGCAGTTATAGGACGATCAAGCAGTTTTTAGGGCAGTTGATCACAAAGAGATCGTCCATGAAGTATAAAAGGGAAAAAGAACATAGAAGCAAAGGATCAAATCAAAAACTCTCGAACAGAGAACATGTAATTTTCATTTTCTTAGCTTAGATTTAAACGCTTTTCTTTCAAGTAACTCGTGTGCTTGCACCCCTTGGAGGCACGTTGTTTTTCATTTCCAATTGTAAAGTCATCGCCAATAAAAGAACACCCCTTTTTGGGACTTTGTTTCAAGAGGTTTGTCCCTTACACAATCGTCTGATCCTTTTTAATTGTTAGCTAGTAACCCGCGCGAAACACCCATAAACGATTTCTACCTCTTCCCAACTATCATCATATGATCCAACTAATAGCAATCAGTAAACGGTTTCTACCTCTTCCATGCATGCCCTAATTCAACTCTCGATAGAGTGGATTATTAAAAAAACCAAATAAGAAGAAGAAGATTAAAAATGAAAAATAATTTTAGACATATCTAATAATTTTCTTTTTAAAAATTATTTGCAAATTCACATTACAGAAATGAGAAATGATTAAATATGCAAAAGTTACATGAACATTACTCTATATACCAAAAATGTACATATATTTAATTTTGAATTAAAGTCATATATAAATAACTCGCAAATTTGTATCTCTTACATGCATTGACTATTTTCTATCACTCCAAATTAACGAAATAATTTGTGTGGTAAACAAAATGTCGATGTAGCAATGATACGAAGCTCAACGACAGGTTAATAAGCAAATGGTATATGAATTTTACCCTTATATCAAAAGTATACTGAACTCATCTTTGTATCAAAATCAATAGCTTTTGTCTTTCAAAATTAATGAAACAGTCCCTTGATAAATAGAGTGCTTGCGTGAAAATCAAACGAAGACATTTAAATTGCATTATTTAAACGGAAACTTGCAGCAACAGTTCCTAACATTTTCGTTTCTTGCAGACTTTATCATAACCTTCATTTTATGCCAACGAAGGTCTCCAACATTTCATAAATATGCACTTGAAATCCATTTGGATAGAAATAGTCCAAAACACCGTCTGTTCGCCGAAAAATTTCCTTCAACTATCTGCTACCGTGACGATTTTATTGAATGTTGATACTTTTTGGGCGATGTTTTGGACCGTTTTATTGGATATTGATTCCTTAATTTTTTCGGTCAACTAACGATGTTTTGGACGATTTTCGTCCAAATGGATCTCAAGTGAATATTTATGAAAGGTTAAGAACCTTCGTTTGCATAAAATGAAAGTTAGGGTAAAATGTGTAAAAAATAAAAAAGTTAAGGACCGCTGCTGCAATTTTCCCTTATTTAAATTATTTGAATCATGTTTAATTTCAAATATACATAACATGTGTTGGAAGATATCGTGGGAAAGTTTTCTTCTATTCCCAAATTACAAAAAATAAATAAATAAATAAATAAATAAAATAGAAGAGGATTATTGAGTAGCAATGGAAGTAGGTTTCTCATTCAATTGAAGCATTCGAAAAGTCGTTACATATTTTTTTTATAATCATGACTGTTTGGGTCAGTTTACGCGCACATCGACTAATCTCACAAGCCTGAAGTTTACAATCGGTTGCTCGCCTCAGTGGCTCTAAGAGGATTTGAATTAGTGACCATTAGGGAGCAAACTCAAAGCCTAACCACTTAACTGCATTTCAGGGGTACATATTTTATATCAAAACGTTTGGAGTTTATTGAGGATTCTAAAGTTAAATCCATAAATAACGTAATAAGGAGAAAGCTAAAAAAAAGGGGTTATATATTTTCTTAAACGATAACATCGCATAGTTTGGATGAATTTTATGATAAACATTCAAATGTTAATTAGGTATACATCATGGCATCCACTCTTAGAGGGGTCAATTTCGAGCAGTTTTCAAAATTGTGTTATCGTATCCCCATCCAATGCTCTCATTTTTTTGGAACAATTTGATATGATATGTGGTTATACGAAATTAGAAGAAAATGGTAGCTTAATCTCTTTAAAGTATGTTGTATTCTTTTGAAATTAATATGATTTAAGTCCCTTAATAATTCAATTTAAAAGAAGTGGTTTGGTAATCTTAGGGGTCCACAAGGTCATTTTCACGTAGGCATTTTGTTTGTCGTGCTGATTTTTTCAATAATTTTGACGTAAAGAAGTTAATTCATGTATGAATGGGACACAAGTTTGTGAGTCCATATATGATTTCGATATAATGATGAGTTAACATATGATTTTGATACAAGGGATAAAATTCACATATCATTGGAATATATGAGGTAAAGCTTATGTACCGTTCTTGTAATTATTAATAAGTTTTTCCAAATATATGTATACTGATGTTATTGAACTCGGCCCACACGTATGGGTTGGGCTAAACTTCGACAACCAAGACCCTTGACTAGGCCGACAGAACCAATTTAATGGGAGGGAAGAGTACACAAACCAGGTTTTAAGTATTCATAATTCAAATTCAAGTTACAAGTTTGATTAATGCAAAATTCAGGTTTTAACTAATTAATTAAAAATATTTATTAAATAATGATAATAAAGTCACAGTTACATGATTAATGGTCACAGATATACAATTATAGGTCACATATTTATTTGCCGGTCACATATGATCAAATTAATTGGCTACAGATTTTTTCGATGCCACAAATCAAAATTTTGATAGGTCACAAATTATTTCAAGATCACAGATCAAAGAATTTGGTCACGGATCAAAAAATTACTGGCCACATTTTATGTCATTGGTCACGCATCAAAAAAATTATAGATCGCAAGTCATGTATTTTCAAATTTGATGGTCACAGATTACTTTTTTAGTCACAAAATGATGAATTTCAAGGTCACAGATTAACACTCACTCACAGAGGACCAAATAATTGGTCACAGACACCAAATATAATTGGTCACAGATACCCACCCGTCACCGCCACCATCATCATCAACAATGCAACCACAACCACCAACAAACGCCGACCACAACCAAAATACCAACAAAAACTACCACTGTGTCCTACACCACCTCCATCGTAGCTAGAATCCACCATAACTGCCACCACCAAACACACCAACATAACCACCGTCTCCATCGCCAACACGACCACTGCCAGAAACCATCACAACGATCAGGACACAATCACAGCCAGAAACAACCAATGAACACACCCAACAATACAATTTCCTCCCAACCTCAACACCACCACCCAAATCACCACTGCCAACAAGAGCATCGCTACTACCATCAGCGCCGCCGACGCCATTAACAAAACAACCACAATCACCACCATTTTCAACCACCAACAAACCAAGATTTTCAACTACAAAACCACCACCATCGACACCAACAAAAATCAGAGTCCTTTTGGATTACTGGAATCGGATGTCTAGGGAGTAGATGCCACCACACAGCGTCAAAGTTCAAGCATCGTTGGAAGTGGAGGCATGGGAGAAGTACTATTGGAGTAGAGGCAATCACCACCGGCTGCAGCAGCGTCGATCGACTCTGATCTTAAAGTGCCACCAGTGGCGAGGAGTCGTGAGCGGCCTCTGCAGGGTCGTGTATGGCTGAACTGAGAGTAGCGCACATCGGACTTGCTAGTTGGCTAGATCTTTAGGCGAAGCTCCATTTGAAGAAGAAATGAAAGGTGGATGAAGTACCGAGAGAGGATAGGAGGTAGAGACGAAAATGGATTGAGCGCAGAATAGAGTTGGCTCGGGGGCGGTGCTCTGGCGACGGTGCTTGGCTACGGCGACGATGTGTGGGGAGAGGATATAAAGAAAGAAGACGAGAAGGAAAGGGGAAGATGAGAGACAAAATAAATTAGGTTTTAATCGGGTAGATGGGATAGGGTTTTAATTGGAGGAGGAAATCTTACATTTGCATAAATAAACATGATAGCAGATTTTTGAATTGTGCATTTAAAAATCCTGGATGCGTGTAATTTCCTCTTAATGGAATGCAAGTGACCAAATAGAAAAATTGGGCTTTGGGGAAAATTACCTCAAACTCTACATCTAAAGTTTCAATTTCAAAAATCGGGTTTTAATAAATTTCCTTCTATAATCAGGTCTTAATCATCTTTTAATTTATACAAATCCTTAGTCCCGTTCCACCTGTACCTCACCTCCACCAAATATATTTACTATTTTCTCTCTCCAAATAAAGAAAAATCCCCCCCCCCCCCCCCCCCCCCCCCCCCCCCCCCACACCCCCCCCATAGGGGCTTCCCTCCCCCCCCCCAAAATTATTTACTTTTTTTCCCCCCCAAAAAAAAAAAACCCCCCCCCCCCCCTCCCCCTCCCTCACAACGTTTACAAATAGAAATTCTCTCTCCATGCATGTACAAAGCCAAGTACATATTTTCCTTTTCCTTTTATTGCGAGTTCGTCAATCTCCCCTTCATTATCAAATTCTTCTCTAACACTTCTGTCGTCAATATCCCTTTCCCACACCATCTACAATAATTCGGTGACATAGAGTTAAAGGAGTCCTCTGACTGGTAAGTGGAGGCTTTGAAGTTGGAGTTGCAGGAGAGTTCATTTGTTGAATCGTCATCTAGATTTGTTGTTTGAATGTTTTAGAAAAAAAAGTTGAAGTTGAAGAGTGATAATTTTCAGAGAGAGGATTCGGAGGCGATTACCAAATTGAAAGATTCCAGTGTTTAATTTTATCTGCTGATGAGTTTTTCTAGTCCATCCATTGCTGCCTCCATCAATACCAACGTCGTCTACTTCAATAGAATTGGTGGCGGCCAAAGTTGTTGGTGAGTTTTTCCAATTTGTCCATTGGCTAGATTTTTGTTGACGGTTGATTCGGTTTTTTGGAGGTGGGTTTGCGGCGCTGCGACGTTTAGACTATGTTGTGAACAAGTGATCAAGTCTTTGTTAATTGTGATTTCATATGACCAAATCAGTGTTAATTGTGGTCGGCTGTGACCAAATTTCTTTTCATTGTAATTGTATGTGACCATGTCTACCTTAACTGTGGTTGTATATGACCAGATTAACAATGACTTGGTCACATACAGTTTCAGTTAAAACAAATCCTGTTATAGAAAATCACAGTGGAAAGAATCTTAATCACAAATAACATGGGTTTGATCGTAAAAAATAATAACTTACATAGATATGGTCACAAACAATAACATCTTACAGGGATGATCACAAACGATCACTATTAAACAGAACATTGTCACATACAACACAAATCGCATAATCTATAGATCATAATCATGATGAAATTTTATAAAATACTATTCAAAAAATTTGAATTTTTACGTCACGAGATGAATTAAACATTTCAGATCAACGGTAAATCTTATTTGAATAATCTTCCAATTCAATGTATCTGTGAATAAAACGAAAGAAAAATGACTTTATAATCACTTTACGGTGAAATATAGAAATTTCTAATCACCGAAATCTACAACTACAGTGATCTGACAACTTTCGCCGAATTGAAATCTATAGATAAATGAATCATAAAATTGACGATTACATTTAAAGTTTCTCAATCAAAATCTTTTCTTGAAGAAACGTACTCATCAAATTATGACAAATTTTACCGATAATTTTGAAATGATTTTGTATTTAATTGAGATGTAAATGCACCGATCTCCCATATCAGTAGAGTAAGAGAGATGAAGTAATTTTGGTGATAAATTGTACAAATTAGGCGAAAATCTTGGAAATTTGGAATTCTAGAGAGAGAAAGATATTGTTTGATTGTAGGTGGAGAGATATAGGTGTAGAATTCTATTTTTGGGGGGAATCTAGTTTAAATTATATTTTATTCAAAAGTAGACTATATTATCTAAATATTATATAAATTTTTATATATTATTATATTCTATTTACAGCATGATTTTTAAAACTAATTTGCAAGATTGTTAGTTATGATATGCTATTCTTAGAATCTTGGAGTTGTGTGTATTTTTTCCAATTTCTTTTAAACATTTTGAATCCAAGAAATTAAACCTTGAAGTTTTAAGTAAAATGATCAACTCCTCACTACTTGAACACAAAATCCTTTATTGTTACCTTTTTATTTTTTATTTTTAAAAATATATTTTAAAAAATTTTAGAGTCCAACATATAATTAATTTATTTTATAATTTT